ATGCGGTGTTTCGATCGTTGTCCCTTTTATTATATACAAATAAATTTTGCTGAGTAGAGATCTGTTAAAGCTAATTTATTAATTGTTTCTATTTAATACAATATTATCGCTGATCTGTTCTTCAACATCTTGAGATCTGTGGATTCAGAAACATATTTGAATAGTTGATTGTACTTTTTTCACTCTCACATCTAGTTGTTTGAATGTTTTCCTGAAACATACTTCATTACACCCATCAAATTTACTTTTACGTGGACTATTTTGTTATTTTTTTTATCGTTATCATTTCCTTTAGTGTTAGTAATGCGGACTAGATGACTAGAGCAAACATTCGAATTGTTTAAATTCCAGTCATTGAGATTATTTCTAAGTGTAATTTTTTAATCGAATAACTTCGACATACCTGATGCTCGATTCCTATCCAAACTTTCTTTCAAATTTTGACGAATGTTCACACAAAATTGTTAGGAAGTTTTTCTGAGACAGTAAATGGATCTCTATAGCAGAGTCATGCATTTTAATGAGTGCCGTAAATATTGGTCGGATGGTCAAAGGCCATAACCTTGAGACTTTTTGCGTTTATGAAACTCGCAGACGTTTATATTTTCTAGTGTGTTGCAACTGACAACTCACTATCCGGATTTTTAATAATAATGAGGAGTTGAAAATATCATTTGTGCATTCATCATTAGTAAAACATGGAAGATTCTAATTTCCGATAGAATTCATTGTTTTGAATAAAAAGAGAACAACGATGCTTCCATGATGTTGGGGTTACTATGAAGTGACCTCCGTTCGAGTATTTATTGAATAAATTATTATTAACATCAGAAATTTTCTTAATGTAGCAAGCTATAGTTGACTTCAAACTAATAATCTGCAGTTTTTATGAGGGAATCAACTGGCTCGTTTCAATAAATTAACTGAAAATTTGTTCACTAATATGTATACTCTAGCACATAAATAAGTTGTGCAAACAATTCCATACACTTGAGTATCAATACAACAATTGAGACATAGCTATTCATATTTCACTTACATAGATAACAAATAACGAGATTATTAATGTACCAGTATGGTGTATGCTACTTAAGTTGACAGACATTAGCAGGATGTAACACCAATCTGAAGTGGAAAACCTAGCAGTAGAAGGCTATGAAAGTCGAATTGAAGAAAAGAGAAATAAAATTAGAAAGGAATTATGAATTTTAAAAATCACATAGAATGTGAAAGACAAGTGATGAAAATTTACAAGTGGAGCATTCAATGTATCATTCTTATATTTCACCAAGATACTGTGTAATTTCGTATTAAAATACATTCGGTCATTCTCGCCCGAGTTTTCATTCATTATATCGTGAAGTTTCACTTAGTTTAAAGGCAACTTACATCACCAAGGGTAGTAGTAGTAGCATTGTAGTGAACACGAACACGAGTAGGGACAAACGAATGTATTTAACACACAATTACAGGACTTGTTAATAAAATCTTACAATCATAAAGTAAATGCTTAATTTGCAAAATGTCCATCAATTGTCTCAAAATGACTCAGACTTGATTGTTCTTGCACTTTCACACAAATTGCATTCTGTTTCCATTCTTTACTATTCGATCCTCTTGTCTCTCTGTTGCCAGACATTATGTTCACGACTAACGTCATATGCTACTTATGTCGATATAAGTAGCACACACCACAGTAGTAGTAGTAGTAGTAGTAGTAGTAGTAGTAGTAGTAGTAGTAGTAGTAGTAGTAGTAGTAGTAGTAGTAGTAAAGTTAATTATATCATTGTACAATAATGAACAATTAGGAAATATGTTAAAAGATGCTTATTCAAACTTTATATTCAATTATTGGTTTGTGTTATCAAATTGATTATGATTTGATGAACTACTATTACGTCTGTCAATATACTATCTCAATTATCTCTAAGTTACCATTGATTTTAAAAAGCCGTCTCTCTGCTCACATTTTCAAGTCACTTAACCGGTTGGTGGCAGTTCGTTGCAGGATATCGAGAGGAACAACAAGATTAAAGTTTCTGTTACGTTGCTTGAATGATGGCTGCTTTCCTCGTCATATTATTAAGGCTGTCCGTGCTTGTAAATTACCTCCTTCCTTAAAAAATCTTCGACGCGTCACAAAATCCCAAATTGAATGTACCAAGGAGCTTATCTCCAAACTTAAAACAGAATCATTCGGTTATGACAAAATTATTATGGATTTAAACATTGTATGTAGATTCATTGCATGAATTTCATTCACGATGTTCAGTCCAAAACCAGTCATAAATTCCTAAAGACATTAACCAAAACACTTGTGAAAGAACAAAAACATTACGCGTTTTCTACGAACCCAGAAAAATACGTACAGAATTTATCCAGTAAAAAACTAACTCGAATTGAAACTGAAGCACTTTCCCTTGGATTTAAATTTCACATTCCGAAAAAATGCAACAGAATAGACACTGAAACCCAGTTTGAGTATTTATATCAACAGTTGTCAGAGCTGAAACCCATGAACGATAAAAAACATAGTTGGTTGAGATCGAAACTAGTTGACATTACAAACCAGTACATAACGACACCAACCCCACAATCGAAAGTGTTGACTAAAGATCACCAACTAGCTTTGAAAAAACTTGTGAAAGATGAAACAATAATACTACTTCGTCCAGATAAGGGTTCCGGTGTAGTCGTTATTAACAGAGATGAATACATTAGCAAAATAATGTCTACTTTAAATGATTCCACTAGATTTATCATCGATAATACCCAGAAAGATTTAACAGAGAGGACAGAGAAGCGATTTGTAAATAAATTGAGAGATCTCCTAAAGAAAAATCTAATAGATAATCATACATACAATGAACTTAAACCTAAAGGATCACAATTACCGTGCTTATACGGCCTACCCAAAAACTCACAAGCCCAATATCCCGATTAGACCAATGTTATCCATGGCTAATTCGCCTTTCCATAAACTCGCCCGCTGGCTGACAAAGTGCCTTGAACCAATCCGAAAGAAACTAACACCTTACAGTCTAAAAAATAGTTTTGAATTTGTACAAAAACTCGACAACCTAAATGTTTCCGACAAATTTATGGTTTCATTTGACGTCTCATCGCTCTTCACAAAAATCCCCTTGGAAAAAACGATAGAGATCATATGTGATTATTCTGAACTTCTACCCCTACCAATTCATTATTTTAAACAGCTCCTCTTTTTGTGTACAAAAAACATACAATTTCAATTCAATAATGTCCTTTACCGCTAAATCGATGGATTTGCCAGGGGCAGCCCATCGGGCCCAATTCTTGCCGATATATTCATGGGAAACCTGGAACAAAAAAAGCTTAAGCATGCAATCGATGGTACTACGCTGTATTGCAGATATATTGATGACACATTCCTCGTCTGCAACAATCACGAACACGCCATTAAGCTACTCGATCTATTTAATAAAGCACACGAGGACATAGAGTTTACCTTGGAACAAGAAGCTGAAGACAAATTCCATTTCCTTGATGTTGGGATCCGACGAACATCTGATGGTAAATTACATAGACATATTCTCCATTAAAATACCTGGAGTGGTCTATATCTCAATTACCACAGTTTCTGCCCAATGAGTTTTAAAAATGTATTGTACGAACCCTTTATGACCGCGCTCAAAAAATCTGTTTAAAAGAATACCCTGATAATGAAATTAATCTGATTACTAATGTTCTAGGTGATAATGAATACCCATTGAAATTTATCCAGAAATATGCAAAAGCAATCCTCGTACAAAATACGATGGAGTAGAAAGGAAAACCTGCTTCTTACACTTACGTCTCAAAGGTGATGAAATTGCTGGAATAATTAATCACAGAATAAACTCTACGTTGAAAGTCACCAACCCAGCAGCAAAAATTATGACACTATGGCAAACGAACTGCTCACTTCAACAAACCAAAATCGACAAGCCCTCTTTTCTTAGTAGCTCCAACTGTATCTACCAATTCACATGTACGTGTCAAAGCACATACATTGGAAGAACTGAGAGAAGAGTGTATGTCCGCATTTCTGAGCATGTTCCAAAAAACTTGAGGCTGCGTGGGACTAAGGCTTTCAACAGCGCAATAGCTCGACATTTACTTGACACCGGGCACACCATCGACATTCCGCATGCTTTCAAAATTATCAATAGACAAAGAAGTACGACCACCCTTCGTTTTGCTGAAGCCATCATGATCAAAAAACTTAAGCCTGACTTATGCATCCAAAAAGAGACTTTAATTAACTTCTCACTACCCTGGTAACCCTTTTTTTTATTTTATTATTTATTTATTTTAAAATTTTTATACCCCTCCCCTATTACATAATTCTTAAACCACATTATTATTCACACATTTCCACCACCTGATCCTCTTAAATTATCTTAATTTTTCAAATTCTATTTAATGATTACTACGTAACCTATCTTATGATTATTCAATTCCATTATTACATCACCTAACCTGAATTAATTCCTTTTGACCTCTGACCTGTTCTAGCATATATATACATAGTTATTATTGTAACCCAGTTATTTACACTCATCTATGTCAATTGTTTTCACTCTAACTCAATGTAAAAATTCTATCACAGTTTTGGTTTGTAAGCAGCTGACGAGAAACCTCGAAATAATATGAATTCATACTATTCTGCACCAATATTTATTCTTGCTTTATTTAGATTAACATAGTGCCTTACTTAGTTTAATATTTTGCTTATATATATATCACTGTTTATTAGAGCGAATTCCTCTGAAGTTGTAATTGAAAAACAGTATTGTTCTTTTATGTTTGCTATTTTAATTCACATGATAGAAATTATCAATCAATCTAAATGATACTTTTAAATGGTTAGTTAGAATTGAATTCAATCAACCTATAAAAGTATTGTAAACTATTAGATTGACTAATTTAATTAGATTATAAATTGCCAATTATAATATTATGTCACTCATTAATTTATCATTAATGACAACTGTCCAAGAAAACAAAACACGAAAACAAACAAGAGAGAACTACATCAGAGATATTTCTTGTTCACCGCTTCTTTCGTTTGAAAACAGAAGAAGAAGAAGAAGAAGAATCTTATTTTTATAATACAAAATATGTTTACTATATAATATATAATTGATTGGAAGATATGCAGTCAAATAAGTACGACATATTTGTATTCTCAAAATGTTCAACTATCCACTCAATAATTAGTTCTATTGTTGTTTTTTTTAATATAATTGACATGTGTATGTACATATGTACGTATATAAATATAAGATTGAGTAATTCTATAGTTTATTCAATTAAGTGGTTATCATTTTAACTTATTTGTAAACGATAGAATGGTGGACGAACAATTGAATCATGATGCATTGAATGAACATAATCGGTAAGATGGGATTTTCTTTGTTGTTCAAATTTAACTATTTATATTATTGTATTAACTTACTGTAAAGTATACTCAATTAACTTAGTTTATTTATATAAAAAAGGATTGAGGATGGGTTAGATAGTATAGCCCCCAAACGCCCTGGTATGGCCGAGAGCGGGGTGGGTTCGCCCTCCCTCTCGAAATACTCTCACACGGCCGCACGTATAAAACCTCTGCCAGGGAAGTCCTACTCACTGCCTTCTCGTGGCGGGGGTGTTGTTTACGAAAATGAGAGGACGAAAAGCGAATGTCCGGCGCTTTAACCGGATTCCAAACCAATGGTGCACATGGGTACCAGTATCCTGCGGGAACAAATGGCGTATGAACCAATCGTTGGTCACCGGCTACCATGGGACTGCATCTCCTTACGATGCTCCACTGCCTTGTGGGTTAGACCTCAGGTCAAAGGCTCCGAGTGTGGCCCCCTAAGATAACCACCTGCTTCGGTCTGGGCACCCGGGCAGTAACGCAGCCCACACGCAATTAATGAACTGAAATTGTGTGGCGCATATATGTTTGGCGCACTCCTGTACCAATATATATGTGTTCAAATAAATAGATAAATAAGATAGTATAGATCAAACGTCTTACACCTAAAAGAAACATTCATGGTGTACTTCCTGATTTGTTTTTTTTGTTGTTTTGTTTTCAGTTATTTAGTTATACTTAGTGCATTATGTAAACTGTTTTGAGTTTATTTAGTCTGTGTAATTTCATGTTATGTATAGTTGACTGAAAGTGTGTATTTATATTTGGGCTTGTATATATGGATAATGTTCAAACTATGTTTTGACCAAGAGACTTTACTAATAAATACTAAATCTGGTGGAGTTTTGTTCTCTGAGCTGGATGGTTTGGCCGTGGAGCTTTCATCGTTCTTCTGAATGACATCATCAGCACAAACTTCAGGTGGAAGTGAAGTGTTCGAATTTCTCCATATGTGTTTCACAACTTGTTCTGTGCACCTCGATGTTGATTGGTTCTTACTGACCTTAAATTTGTCATTGTTTACTTCTTTTTTCGGTTGTCTCCCATTGGTTTGATTTTTGGTTCCTCTATTTGTGCATGATTTTTCTGATTGGTTGGTAAATTGGATTGATTTCAATATGCTTGTTGATTGCTGATTGATCCAGCTCAGAGAACAAAACTCCACCAAAATCATCCACTTGAGCTACAAATCTTCTCCACCATCTCAAAATACTGATTCAAATGACAATTTCTTTCACAGAATATATATATACATATATACATGTTTTCCAGTTGTATTATCCTATGACTGATATTGAGAAATGTATTTTTACTGTTCTTTACTGTCATTTTGTACATTCTGAACAAATTGGTTGAATATATTCTATTAGTTGGACACTTTTAGTGTATCTGTAGTTCGGTTAATAGTAAGATCTATACTGTTTAATGATTGTTATTTTGATTTACCAGGATTCTATTTTTAATGCTGATATTAAGATAAGTACTAGGTTTGAGTTTCAATAAAAATATAAACACTGATACAATGATACAGTCATCTGATGCGTTCTATGTAGGATGAAATGCGAATCTTTTATTCCATTGTTAGCCGCAATGTAAATTCATTAAACTATTTATAGGTAGTTTAAAACGAATAAAGGTAATTTTTTCCATAATTTGTTGGGTTTTGGAATTAAAAATGATCTCATTGATTAAAATAATAGAAGTCTTCATGACAGACATAATATAGTTGTAGCATTCTAATGAATACAAAACTGAATTCATGGCTTTTTAAACTCTTGTAGTCATAGCAGCTATTTGTTTCATATGAAGCAAATTTACAGGAGCTATCATCAAATCAATAGAAATTTATTTTCAAAATAAGAATTTATGGAGATTGTAGTATTTTAACAGTTGAATTCATGAATTGGTTTAAGTAAGACCATCAGTGAACACTTGAAAGCACTTGATAGCCGTATCGTTCCAGCACGAGATTCTTCAGTAGTGTATGTTCACAATCCCGCACTAATGATCACTTCTGAGATAGATTTTGAGGATTTATGGAGATGTATTTATATGAAGAGTTACTCATACTGATAGTCAGATAATTATCATTGGTGGACTTGGTAGATTGTAATTCTATGTCACTAATTAAATGAAATCTAATCAATCAAACATCGGATTACAACTGTGAAGTTTAAGGATGTTAAACTAAGCACGAGACATAAATATTTGTATTTCAATCTCATGCAGGAATATCAATTTGAAAAGCTTAGGATTCGAACTTTAGGAAGAAATCGCTGCTCATTAATCCTAAATTAGATGATCAGAAACACATTTATACTATAAAATACTGTATCAATCATCCATAACACAACTGTTCATTGTATCCTAAGCAAAATATTCTTTTATATTCCTCTTTAATTTGTTATTATCTGACAACATTGTCTAATGAAATTATTTAGTTTTCCTATACTGTTTTAATGAATAATTCTATTTAACTAATTTGCATACATGACGCTTATGAATCACCTTGACCGAAATGACATGACATTAATTTGTTCATTGTTGATTGAGCGCACATAATATATTCTTGTGTTGTTCCTTAGTACTATTCAAAATTGGATTATATTTGATTTGGTCATTTATTCTCTGAAGTGGCCTACACTAAGTCACGAAACGGCAGAAAATCTAGTTTTTCGGCGAGACCTTTGGACGAATCTTAAGTGGCCTTGAGAAATAATAGGCAATCAGCAAACAGTCAGTATAGAGTAAAAATATATTATACAAAACCAAGCAAATAAAGTGGATGTACTTCTTATACGCGGTTCGAAAACTTGTCAAGGTTAGAAAGTGGTTCAGAGGTTCTAAAATCGTGATCCCTACAGTAAAGGAAATCATCCATACGCCTACAGAATAGTCGGGCTCTGGAGCCAAGTCTCAAAAACTCCTTCAGCCTCGACCACATAGCTTCAATATTGTTTATGTGCACACCGGCTGATGAGTGCACAAAATGCTTCTTGTGGATAACTACATGATGCACATAACCAAGCCTATGTAGGAGTCTGTACTCTCTCCAAACATCCGTATACATTGTAGTACCCGGCTGCAGCCAGTGTTACTGGTACTTTTATTATCCAGTTCTCAATAATTGTCGTAATTTGCCTTAGTTAGGAATTATATATGCGGTTTTCATCACGAACTGACATAAGCTACAATGCCAGAAATTTATTTAGCCAAATGGATGAAAGTCTTTCACTCCGAAATCCGAGATCTGTTATCTTATACCAGATTGATTCGTCCACAAATTATAGTCTCGCTGTTTTATTTGTTATAGCCGCTTAGTTATCACGTTTTGTACAAAATCCCCTGTGAACCGATCGTACGTTAGTATTAAGCACTGAAGTTGGCGCCGTAACCTTGAAATCTCTAAAACGCCTCTGATTGGCTCGTCCATAAATTAGAGTCTCGCTAGTTTTTCTACTTATTGGGATATTACGAATATATTAATTTATTTATATCTGTTTGACTACTGTTTAAAGACTAACGGAATAATATAAAAAGAATCATTTCCTTGTATTTCTATTTAAAATAATTAGTGTCTTTTGTGTGGATTGTCATAATTTCCAATACATCAAGCATATTAAATATCAGATTACAGTTTATTTTAAAATAAACTGATATCAGGAAAACAAGGAAAATGTTGACAATCATGAACTACAAGATTCCAAGTTTAATTAGTGGTTGTAAATTTTTAAGTTGATCATAGTTTGATTGTATTGCTCATAGTAACAGTAGTAGATTGATTATTTCATATCTTGAGTGCTGTTAAAGTTATGAGGGCGGTTATCACTTCCCGGTTGCCCACACCGCGGAAGGGTTCTTCTGGAGGTACCTGAAAAGGAAATTGGATTAGAGGTGGTCTTAGTGACCTGAGAGCGTGACCGCAGTGCCCAAGGGACAACTGCTTGAGGTCGGTCACACACGACCTTTTTATGAGTAATTTTTGTGTTAGCTCTGTACTTGTTGAGAACTTTCTACCGGAGACGGATAACCGTGGGATAAGACAAGGTGTGCATTTTTGGGGTCAACCTTTTCTAACGCCACCCCTCCTTGTGGGAAGGCAGCATCGTTGTCATGCCGGCTGTCTGAAGGAAGCACCTTACTGCTGTCACACCTCTGTACAGTCAGCAGTACGACTTCGCCTTCGGACCTTGGGTTTGTTGCTTTTAGTCTTACCGCTCTTCAACAGACCTGCCTGACATAGTAGGACTTTGAGGAACGGTTGTTTCAGCCAGTATAGCTCGGTCGCCTCATCACGATGGGCAAGCCCGACCATCACGTCAAGATAGCAACAACGATCGGGTATAATTGTATTTTATTACGCATAATGTAATATGATAACATAATTACAAAAATGAGTTATATGTTCCACAGTTTTAGATTGTCTACTCTATCTCTCTCTTTTTTTCTTTTTCATTGAGAACCTTCCATTGATTTTTTAAATGTAACATGATAGTGATTCTGTGCATAATTCATATAAAATAATTAACAAAGTGTTTTTACATATGAAAATGTATGTATCATATTAAATGAATTTAATTTCTTCTAAGATTTTGTCAAATGGAATAAACTAAACTTTCAAAGTTAAAGTATTTTATTGATTTCAAGTCGTTATTTAATGAAAATATCGTTGTTTGAATAACAAATTGATTAGTTAACAGATAGGTTAAGTGTCCATGAATTTGTAGTGTATACCTTCTCAAGGTTCAGTTTGTGTTGGATATCAAGCATTCCAGGGTTGTTTTTTTTGTTTAATTAATGAGTGAGAGCCTCATATAAAAGCATAAGTTTCACTATGAATTTCATCTTAAGCTCTAACTTTTCCCTTCATTTGGTGTTTTCATCTGGTAGGTTGGTAGTGTTCCGTGTGTTCATGGAAGAATTATATAAATAGCTTTAGATAATTGAGATAACAGACTTAATGGAAATCTTACTTTTTTGCTAGATATTGATTATCACCGTATTCATAGGGTTGGGAAGATTGGCGAATTTTATTAGGACCAATTATGTTAGGTATGAGGTAGGTGCCCACAGAAGACATTGGAAGATTACCCTGTTCCAGTATCACGAATCGATTGAACTTAGACTCGTTCACAAGTGAATACCGACTTAGATGTCTAGTGGTCAAGTGTTCGCACACAAGACCAAAGGTCCTAGGCCGGACTCCCAGTTGTTGGGTCATAGATGCGTACTGTTAAAGAGCCCAATACTAGTAAGAAACAGATCTTTTTCCAGTTCTTCCTGATTCTCAGTGGTTGTCTAACTTTGGTCGATTCATGATGTCAATAAACCTTTACACCGGAATAATGAATAAAAGAATACCATTTCATCATAAACTTTTCAAATGATATTTAATTATATGTGCTTGAAAGTTATCATCAATATTGTAAGTGACAAAACCGACCGAATATAAGGATTGTATAATAATTCATTTTAACAGTATATCATATATGAATTGGACTGATTTCAGCTAATGTATTATAAAATATAAAGCATTAAACTTTGTAGATGAATCGAATTTTTATGAAAAGAATATAGTTAATACTTATAGACATTATCACAACTACATATTTAAAAGTCAGTTGGTGAATACTTCAATGTATATTCAGTGTAGAACAACAAGTTTCTTTTCTGATTAACTAAAGTAAGATCATGATTCTTCTCTTCAGTAAAATTTAATCTATTCAAATCCAGTTCTGTGAAACAAATAGACAACTTATACGAATATTCGTCAGGATTGGAACAAATAGTTTGACAGAGATGTGCGCCGAGTGAAGAGAAGTCATTATATGATGATTTTGATTATTACCCTGAAGAAGTCCAGACAAGTTAGATGGACGAAACGTTGGAATTATTTAAATTTCAATCGTTGAGATTATTTTAAATATAATTTTCACATATAATAATAGACAACTGTCTATCACTTAACATATAATCTATGTAAATTTCAAATAGCTTACATTGTAGAAAGTAATTTTATGAGCTCTTTTATTTACAATGAAAGTATATATATATATTTATACTTTATTTACATGATAATAAGAAATCCTATATTGTTTATCTCATATACATTCAGATTACGTGCATTACATGGATGTCCTCCATTGAAATATGATTCAAGACTTGCTAGAGAAGCACAAGCTTGGGCTGATAATCTTGCACGTATGAAAATTATGAAACATAGTATATGTGATGAATATGGTGAAAATTTGGCAACATCACAATCTACTGGGAAAGCGGAATTGACCGGTTGGTTATAGTGTTTAGTTTAATTTATTTACTGAATCTTAATTGAATTAATAATAGTAATAATAATATTAATTTATATTCTGAAAATACTAATTACAGAATTCACGCTAGTTTACAGGTATGATCAATTTGATATAAATAGTAACATTAGATGTACAAAACAAACATGTGATAGAAGAAAGTTTTAAGTATACTAGTTCAGTAGTTGTTTAAGTAGTACATATATTACAGCGATCCAATGCATCAGCCGGGAATTTTTAATATTTCTTAAATAGACAGCCTGTTGATTTATGAACGGAGTAATTAAGGTCATTTCGTGTGCCAGATCGAATTAATGATAATTATCTACAACTAGAGAAATTAAAACGGAAACAGAGAGCACGGAACAACAAAGTAGTAATTACCAAAATATATCAACCAGGTCTACCTAAATGTGTGTCTCATGTGACACAATGATATACTGTTCATGTTATTCAAATTAGTTAAACTTGCTAGGGATGGGGTTACCATAAAGTGACAGCAAGTAGGTGGTTTTACTTAGGGAATGCACTAATAAAGATGGCTAAACATTTAAAGTTCCTATAATATCACTTGTGGAATGAGATACACTTACAGATGCTAGAACATTCAATGCATTTTCAAATGAGCATTATGCATCGATGCAGCGAACAAATAATGGGAGTGATTTTATCGTACGGATAGATTGTGGTAGGTTATTCCAGAGTCTAAAAGATTTGAAATAAATACAATATTTTATTTCGATATACTGGCTAGATTTCTTTTAAAAGATAGGTTGTAAAACACCATGAGTTCTTCATGTTGTTTAATGAAAATGATGCTAGAAAAAAAATGCTTAGTTTGAATTATTTAAACCGTTGGTTTCTATGGATATTTATGATTTATCGAACTCATGAGTCTATAGAAGTTAGTCAATTATTGTAAACATTGAAGTATAAGATGACTGTTTCATACTGGTATGAAACTTCTTAGAAGTGCCTATCTATGACCTTGTAATCGGAAATAGGAAACAGAACCTTTGGTCTCACAAGCAAACCACCTAGCCCTTAGACTATCATTAGCCCTGATAATTAATTTCATTATAGGATGAAACGGCCATCCAGTGTTTCCAGATTTATAATGTTTGTCTAACTTGGATTGATTCGTGATTTTAATGAAATCCAACAATTTTCAGAGCTCTATACTGACATTTATATTTTAAGTGATTTATACTACTTGGTAAGAAAGAAACTAATGTTTTACTATTGCCGTACTAGTTGGGTTATTATTCTGTAAGACACATTGTTTCTATTACTTCAAATGAATAGCGTTGAAATACCACAAAAATGTGTTTAAAAATTAAATGTTAGCTAATATTAGATGAAATCGATCGTATTCGTCAATGGAGTAAGGACAATCGGTTAGTGGTATCTATATCTTGTTAAGTTAAACTTTAATATATGTGAATCTTGACAATTAGAAAGTTTAGACAATTACTCAATATTGACTTTATTTTAATGGTAATGATCTGATGAACATTAACTTATGCTAACGGCAACTGAAATTAGTAGTAATCGAGATAAATGTCGAGGTAGTCACCTTACGTGACTGTATTTCATCTTAAAATATAAAAGTGTTCAATATTTGGGCTTTCTAATAATGCTTTTTAAAAATTTTATCCGCAGATCAATAACTAGTTTTCCCTTATGATTCACTGTCTTCATTTAAACTTTTATTTTATTGCACAATAGTTTACGGGTTCTTCAGTGTGTTGGTGGTTGATTAAAACTGTTTTGTTCTAATCACCTTATATCTACGAGATTTAAGATTGATTTTCTTATTTGGCTATACTTTTTAGTCTCTGTAACTCTACTACCATGATTGATATTACTTCTGACCAATTAGAGTACACATAGTAATTTGTGCTTTTCTGAAGTCAGAAATATCAGGTTTATTATTGCACGAGTTTTGAGTTATGATAGAGTGTAGAACAATAGGGAATTGAATTGATCTCTATCACTGAATTTTGATTGGACCTCAGGTTAGAAACAACTTGAGGATCAATAAGCATTGAGGATTTTTTGTTGTTCATTGGTTGATATTTCAATTGGTAAGTCGAAGGTTATCCATCCCACTGACGATATGGGTGAGCTAAACTGATAATCAGGCTTACAAAAGGTCATAAAACTACTCTCCTTTAATAACTGTCTGATTTCTTTGACATTTTGTCATTTGAAGGCCTAAAAGCGTCGTTATTATTTTTATAAAAAATTAATTGGTACTTTTCTGTGTCGATACTGATAGATAAATATTTGAAAAGTATAGTAATCTTAAACTGGATAAACCTTATAGGAATTAATGACTAGAGTATGATATAATTGTTTGCAGACGAATGACTAGAATCTTTTTAAAGTAGAAAATTTCTTTCATCAAATGATGATATTATTTCAGGAACAAATATATAACAAAGAGGGGTTTTGTGGATATTATAGTAATTTAATAGTTGATTTCATGAGTCAATTGAAGCTATAACACCATGGAAACCTGAAAGCACTAGATGGGACTCGTCAACAGTGCTCATCCAAGACTCTGCTTCATGAGATTCGAACCCAGGACCGTCGGTCTCGTGCGCGAACGCTTAACCTTTAGACCAGTGAGCCGGCATCCAACGGTATTAATGTCTAATTTCAACCAACCCACGAAATCGCGCGACCGTCAACCATTGTCTTCAGTGAGTTACTATCTCACAACAGAACCGGTTGAACACAATTGGTCACGGCATCTCACTAGAACTCCAGGAAAAACCTTTTGGAGACCCTCACTAGTGAGCATATATTGATTAGTATCAGAAAAAGTTTTGTAGATATTATAGTAATTTGAGAATTGAATTTTATATAGAATGTAGAATCTACGCTATTAAGAAAAAATCGAGTTATCTCATTTTTTGTTCGCACATATTATTTCTTTAGAGAACTATTTCGATGACATTTCCATAATTCAGTTTTCCGTAATAACATTGGCTAATACCTGTTTAATTGTCATCGTTTTCAGTTTGTTAACTTTCTTATACACACTGCTAATACAAAAATCGAGTTGTTCCTTTACGAACTTTATATCTGTACAAAATATAAATTTCTTATCTATTAATGTGTAAATTATTAAGATTGGAGTGTTGTCATGTCCGGTTTATTTGAGTTCCCATACTTTACGTTGTATGACAATAATCTCCAGTTGTTCTTTAATAGAATGTACCAAAACCTAACCAGAAATCCCAGTACCTCAATTACACTTATGAGATAAGAAAAATACTATAATAAAACTATTCATTATCAAATCTAATGTATAACAAATGAATTCCAATCTTTGAACCTTATTCAATCTATATGTTACATGTTTTAGTTTTTGCTAATTGCATGAGTTTTATCAAATTGTCTAACAACAAAGTCAAACTCTTCCATAAACAAAATTAATCAATGTAAAATACATGTTGGAAACAAAGGCTTTACATAAATACCAGGAATTATAGAGATGTTTCTATTTCTGTGAACGTTTATATATCATTTCAATGGGTGTTTTGAAATGAAATGAAACGAAATACGAACATAAACCATAAAATTGTTACATCATTTTCTTGGTTGGAGAATATAATCCAAATTCGTTTCTTTGAATAATTAATTCAATAAAGTTATCTCGGTGTAAGAGTAATATCTCTTGACTTATTCATACCTAACCAATCTGTAATGTTAAAAATCAATTTTGTTTTGTTTTTTAGGGGCTCGAGCAACACAAAACTGGTACAATGAAATTCATGATCACAATTTTGATAAACAGTTTCAAAGTGAAACAGGTAAAAATAATCATATATGACAACCAATGTTTTATGTTCATCAGTGTTAAGCAAACTAACAGCAATCCGTGGTTTAAAACTTGAAAATTTAACGATTTCCACAAAACTTCCATACTACTAACAATATACAAGTGCTCACTAATGGCTAACGTCAATAGGTAATTACAGAAGTTCATAGTGAGAGACCATGATTAAGAGAGTTCAACCAGGTCAGTTGTGATACAGTTGTCCACAAATGGCAATGGGAGATTCTCGAGCAACACTGTCAACCGACACCATTAGATGTCGGGTCAGCGTCCTAAAGGATAAACGTCAACTCGAATTCAGGTAGGAATGATCTATTCAAATCTGTCCATATATGACTGGTCAGAAGGACTAGCTGTCAGTCATCTGTGAAGAAATTGGAATGGATCGCAGGAACCAGAAATTCGCGTTGATAAGTTTGTTCAGAAGAACAATAAAGACATCATGATTAAACGATCCTGCTCAAAAAACGAAACTCCACTGAAAAAACAAGAATCTGTTTAACGGATTGCCGACAGATATTGATTATCTAAGAAATATGTGTCGAAAATTTATAGGACTGACCAACGAACGTAAGCACATTGATTAGGAAATTGTCAAAAGCTTTCAAAATTCATTGGTTAACCACCCTTCAATAATTTAATAATGACTGATATGAGGAGTAAATTCTCAGGGTTCTTATAAAAAATCTTGACTAGTAAAGTTCGAATATGGTGATTGTGATGCATTAAAAGAGAATAAAAGATGGTTGGATCATATCACGAATTGACTGAACTTAGACGTTAAAACGATTGAATGACGATCCGTTGACTATTTGTCAGTCTTTACCTTTAAATCTGAACGTCCAAAGTATGATTTATGGGGGGGGGGTAGCTAAATATTCCTTACAGAAAGATCCCATGCAAGAACAAAAGACCTGTTCAGTGCTTCTCAGCTGTCTAGTCGAAACCAACTAGTGATGCGAATTATAAAGTTTAACGATGATCACGAAATCCTTATGGTTAAGATAACATTTGTTTCTAACTATTTACGCCAAACTGACAGTTCCGAAGTTTTAACAAATTTCGTGCACTGAACCTTATTTGTTTTATGAATTGGTTTATTAACTTAGATCTAATGAATTTATTCTTCTCTTATCTGTAACTGGCTTAAATTTAATTTCCTAAATAAAGCCTTTTGCCTTCTAATGACTTAATAAATGTCAATGAATTCATTTGATCATTAATTGATTCCTAATATCATCGTATCATAAGCGATCTATGTGTCTCACATGGTCATTGACTTGTTCAAGGTCAACCACAAATGTAATAAAACATCAAAAGTATTATTGTATAGTTGAAAACTTACATTTTTAGAATAATGATTCAAACGAAATAAAACAAACATTCCGTAAACTAACTTATTTACTTTCAATTGTTGAGATCATGAGTCGATTGAAGCTAGATCACCATGGAAAACTTATTTACATTATTTCGTAGATATGTTATTTTCAATGAATTTTCTGATTGAATAAATAACCTTTTAAACAAATTAGTTTGACCAGCTTGGCTTTATCTGTTCATCAAATATCATAAGCCATCTTTTCTCAAATTGGTTATATAGCGAACGAGAACACAAGTGAGGACAGCCCAGTATATTTGAATGAAGAAATACAGGATATCATAGTAAAATCTGAGAACTATACAAAAAATAGTTCATTTGCAAAATGTCAACCAACTGTCTCAGACTTCAATATCCTTTTATTTATACACTGTTCTCTTTCTCTTTTCTTCAATCTTATTCACCTTCTGCAACATAACTTTAGTCGAAATCTATATAATCCTAATCAGATGACGATGGATGCTAACGCAAAAGTTACATATATGAATACATAGATCTACTGACCACACAACAAAATAAGAAATACCATGTGTGCCAAAATTAGCACTTACTTACTTACTTATGTCTGTTACTCCCAATGGAGCATAGGCCGCCGACCAGCATTCTCCAACACACTCTGTCCTGGGCCTTCTTTTCTAGTTCCATCCAATTCTTGTTCATTTTTCTCATGTCTATCTCCATTTCTCGGCGTAATGTGTTCTTTGGTCTTCCTCTTTTCCTTTGGCCTTGAAGATTCCATGTGAGGGCTTGCCTTGTGACGCAGTTGGGTGCTTTCCTCAATGTGTGTCCTATCCATTTCCAGCGCTTCTTCCTGATTTCTTCCTCCGCTGGGATCTGGTTTGTTCTTTCCCACAGTTGGTTGTTGCTAATTGTGTCCGGCCAACGGATCCGAAGTATTTGGCGTGAACAACTGTTAATAAACACCTGTATTTTCTGGATGATGGCATTCGTAGTTCTCCAAGTTTCTGCCCCATACAGTAGAACTGTCTTGGCATTTGTATTGAAAATCCTGACCTTGGTGTTGGTTGACAGTTGCTTTGAGTTCCAGATGTTCCTCAGTTGTATCAAGCTCATGGTTACATTACTATTGGATTAGAATAAAATATAGTAACTGTCCATAAATCAAACAAAAACTTAAGATTAAGGAAGTAAATGAAAACGAATAATCTAACCGTTCATAATGATAAATTTTAAAAAATTCTAGTTATAACCATATGAAACAAATTATAAAACTAATAATTAACTAAATTCGTTAAACTTTTATTAAAGAAATGCACATAATGAATATTTTACTTCTTCTCACTAACATCAGGTCATTTTACGCAGGTTATTTGGAAGAATACATCAAAAGCAGGATTTGGCATTCAATATTCAAATGATGGACATCATGTCTTTGTAGTAGGACGTTATGAACCAGCTGGGAATGTATATGGTGAATTTCAAGAAAATGTACCTCGACCTATCCATGGACAGTCAACTCGTAAGTGATCCTTAGAAATTACAAGATTAGTTAGTGAATATTAATTGCAGTACAGACAGATGACACTGAAATCATTCAGAAGAAGTGAGAGTTAAAGTTTACTACAGTACCGAAGTAATTATTTTCAAAATAGTAATTTCAAGATTTTATAGTAAAGTGTAAATAATAATAATGACCATTACCTAACAAATTTGAAACTGTCTACAATATGATTGCTTTTAGTAATCAAACTTACTATATCCGGAAGACAATAAGTGAATGGTAACCGTTAGGAATTACATATGGACTAATATTATACGGATATTCTAATTGTATGGCTATTAAATAACTATATATATATTCCTCTTATTACAAGCTTTTTTTTGACTAATTGACTGTTATCGTACGATTTACTATTCTTGAGATATTCCCAGTTTATTAGTAATGGTCTACCACAATCACAGCCATATTTTAGCTTGATCTTGTATAATTGTTATTTTCTATTTTATAATATGATGCGGTCTGGTTTGTTTGTATATAAACCCAGTATGTCTGAAATATATGATTCGTGTCGCAGGAGCTGATATTGGCATCCTGAACTCAACCGTTTGGATTTGGTGAGAAACTATTATCTCTCTAGATCAATAAGAATTCTAGGCTGCTCGTATAGATTCATGAGTGATTAATCTGATCGTATAAGTCGATGTCTGTAAATGGTGGTTGTATCACGTGATATAATTAATCGGGCATATGAAAGTAACAAAAATATCTTGAATAAACGAAGAACAGTTAATCAAGTATAGAGTATCAAATTTTTATCACCATAGCAACGAGTCAAAATGAAATAAATCTCTTATGTAGTTCCGTCTACTAAAAATTCATTAATTTCTAAAAAAAAAGTAAAACAGCGGTTATAAAATTTAGAAGAAGACATACAATTTGTTAGCTTTCTTATCTACCGATTCTTCATACTATGTTTCATTTATTCACTAAAAAGAAACACTATCATGGTTACTCCAAACGTCTTACAAGATTGATAGAATACTCCAACTTCTCTCTTAGAAAACATATAAATATGTGAAGTATTCACTTAAAACGTTTTCATAAATCAGGTTTGAATGATTAAACAAAAATTCTGATTCAAGAAAAAAAAAGTGTTTTCAATTTAGGTTTATTAGCACAATGAGAAATTTATTATTTTTTTCTTGTTTTGTTTTAATTGATGGTACATTATTTACAAAACAAAACAAAAAAAAACGTTAATGATTGAAGGTTTAGTGCAAGATCTTACTTCAAAAGAATCACAAAAGTGTTCTGATTGAAATATTAAATGTCATCATCTTAGAATTTTTACAAAATGAAATGTGTTTATAACTAAAATTAGTAATGGATTAAATAACATCGATTAAACACTTCATTTAGTATTAAAATTTATACGTCAATTAAAGCTAAACTGCCATGGAAAAGCTAGAAGCATTAGACGGTCATCTCGTCCTAGTATGAGACTTCTCATGAGTGTACATCCACGACGAGTTCCATGCTAGGATAAAACGGCACTCTAGCGTTTCCAGCTTTTCCATGGTGGTCTAGCTTCAACTGACTCATGAATTCAGTTTTTAAAATAAATATGTTTGATTAAACACTTTATATTTGTTTAACATTGTACATGAATATAAGAAAAAAGATGGACGACGTTTGAGAGACTCTGGACCGACCTTGAGAGTATCCACCTAATAACTAGCACCAAATGAGGATTATAAACCTGTTTGAGGAATCAGAATTATGATTTACAGTTCATAGTAAAGATAAGAATTAGATTTAGGAATTTTATCACGAACTGACATTAGCTATAATGGTAAAACTCTATTTAGCTAAATGTATGAATGAATTTCGCGCCAAAATCCAAGACCTGTTATCTCAAATCTGATTGGTTCATCCATAAATTATAGTCTTACCAAAAAAATTTTTAAAATGTTCAATGTTCAGTATTTAATATTTTAAAAAATCATGTCAAATTGATTAATTTTAAATAACCATTATTTATTACAGCGAAATCCAAAGAATTTTCTTACCAACATGATGAACAAAATGGTCCAAGAAGAACCTGTCGAGGTAGATTTGATTGTGAAATTAATAATTTTCCATTTGTATAAGTTTTTATCATAGGAAATTAAGATTTAAGAAGAACGGTCTTAAAATAAGTGTATAAATCACTCTTATTAATATAAAATTCATATAAATGATATTATAAAATGGTATGTAATGAATTAGGACTGTAATGACTTGGCTTCGAAACAATTCATTAAGATTCATTGATCAATCACTTTAATAACCGTTATCAAATAAATTTCAACGGTGTATAAATTCAGAAGGTAACATAAACCGCCGACTATAGTATATTTTATTAGATAGCATATATAGCAAAATTACAAGTACACCAAATGAATTTGGAAAGAAAGGCTAATATACAGAGTCGAATATATGTATATCTCAAAATCATATGAGTGTAGCATACGGATATGGGAAAGCAAATGATTCATCCAGTAATGTATAAGCGAATAGCATTTACACTAGAGAGAGAGATAAATGGTTAAGCTGTCACATTTGACCAAGTATATATATTTATACAAACATGATAGTAATAATATTAGTACAAAGAAATAGACAAATTATTACAGTTTGAATAACACTGTCTGTTAAATAAGTTAGTAAAAGAACCCGACGAAATTGAACGTAAACAAACTTAATTGTTGGAGAGATGCTGAAAGGCCTCGGTGCAATTCATGATAATTAGCTTGAATCTATCTCGATCCTTATAATGTTTTGATACAAGAATTTGTAAATCCTGAAGTTTTTCTAGTAAATATATAATTTAGATAATGGAAACTATTATTATTTTTAATTCTATCATTACTATTATTACTGTCGTAGTTTCAATCATCATTTTTAAGTTCATTAATCTGATATAAAGGTCTATCCTTTAGAATATAAAACATTCAAGAATGTTTCGTAAAGAGACTTCTATAGTTTAACTATAGTTTACATTAAATCCTAATCACATCTAGTCAATAATTTGAAACTAGTGTGTACTGAGTATATGTTTAGTCTTCATTTAAGACATGTGTGTCAAGTCCTTATTAGTGCAGATCGAATGCTATCGACCAAGTTGCAATGTGGCCACCAATCTAGGTGACCCGTCACTGTGTGCACTATGTTGAGATTAGATGGTGGTTGGAGGTAGTCGACAAGAAACCCTGGACTCGAATTTCGTCCTAAATGGCACTCGTCATCAAGATGTACCTGTAATCTTGAGGGAACTGGTGTTCCCCGACGGATTCGATCCTGTGTTACTCAGCTTCACAGTCAGAGACGTTACCACTGAGCTATCCGGGTGCCGACCCACAACTTTAAACGGGATTAAAAGATGTACTATAGAAATGAGATAAAACATTTATCCATTACTTTTGGTTTTTATTAATTCTTCAGCGATCACTGCTTAATGACAAAAAACATTTTAATCGCAGATTATTTCACAGTCAACTTCTACATTTAGTCACTATAATTAGTTTTCTGCTAATTAATGGAGTTTCTTGACGTTATAATATGCACAGTTTAAAGAATTAGCTACTCATTTTGTTTTAGTAGTAGATAGAGATACATACAAATTATTACAATGATTATGAAAGGTATATATTGAGTTAGACTTTTGAAGTATATTCAAAGTGGTGGAAAATCATATTTTATTTTTAAAGCTTTCGATTTTTAATACTTAAAAAATTACAAAAATGAGGATTTGTGCAGACTGTAGTAATTTAAGTAGTTGAATTGATGAGTCAATCTAAGCTAGACAACCGTCGACAAGCCGAAAGCAATAAACGACCGTTCTTCATCCTAGCAGGAGACTCCTCAGAATTGAGGACCCATGATCAATTATACGAGACTCAAACCAATGATCTTCAGTCCCACACATGAACGCTTAACCTATAGACCACTGAGCCGTCATCAAACGGTGTTAATGTGGAAATGATGAAATGAGAAAATGGACAGAATCGATTATTTTCGACTCTCTGATATTGATCATTAAGTAAAATATACAACTTGAAGTAGACTTATTTCTTAATGATTACGACAAGTATGAATCATTACTGTTCCTTATTATTTCTTCTTGAACTATTGTGAAAGGATTATCCTGCGTTGCGTAAGACAATCAAATGTATTTGTTGAGTGGATTTTGAAAAACTATCATGAATATGGTTGTGGATAGACATCTGAAATTTCGTAACCAACTGGAGTGTGTTATTTTATTAAATACAGACTATCTATTCCACTCACTTCTGTCGCTTTATAAATCGTGTGACAAAAGTAAAATAAGTACAATAGAAGTCGTGGATGCGAAAATATTTCCAGATACTTTACAATATCGTATTTAACATAGAAACAATACTGCGGAAATATTGAATGAGTTTCTTTACTCAGAATTCCATCCTCTCGATTATCCAATTCATAGATCAACTCATGAATTCAGCTTTAAAAATACTATAATCTCCACATATCCTTATATTGAAAATGATCACGTACGTGCTAGTGACTCACTTCAAGATGGAACTGCTGGTGTTCTTGTGAGATTCTCTGATCGTTGGAGTCCAATTCGTGTCGTGTGGATACAATTATCCACCTCAGACAATGGATGAAGTGTTGCGTAATATCATGAATCGATTGAACTTGAACATTAACACCATTGGATGCTAGCTCAGTGGTCTAGGGGTTGAGCGTTTGTGTGCAAGAATGAAGGTTCTTGGTTCGGATCTTGTATGTGTGGATGCACACTGCTGAGTCATCCCATAATAGGATGGAATGACCATTCCAGTGATCTACGTTTTCATTGGTAGTCTTGCTTAGATCGATTCGTGAATTTAACTTTATAAAACAGAATGAATTCCTGATGTTCTGATTAAATATTTGTTCTTGCTTTCTTCGAAACCTATGTGTATTGACTTTGTAATGACTAAACATTTTGAGAAAAACTGATTGAGATGTATGCTGACAACTTTATATTGTGCTAAATATACAGTATATAATAAAATTATTATTATTCATTTATAATCTATCTAACGTTTGTTTATATCTGTCAATGATTGAAGGTTTACAGTTTAATATGGCAATTCCAAAACATTCTTTGATTAGTGTATTTTAATGTGCTGCTATCTGCTAATAATGGTAACAATTCAATTCTTATATGGACACGTTTCAGTAATGTAAATGACCTGCGATTAGATCACCAAGTCCTTAACCATAAACATTGATCGATTAGATGTTATAGTAAATTTTAAAATATTTGTTGTCAATTACATCGTTTTGATTTACACTACTATGACCATAACATACATTTAACATTTAATGTATATACCGGTCATCAGTCATGATGAGTTGAATGAATATCGCCTGTCTAAATAATGATAGACGTTCAGTTTCTATTTTTAAAATAATTAAAACTTATATACCTTGAATGGAATGATTGAAGTATATAGAACAGTCGGAAAGTATCCAGCAATAGAACACAGGATGCTCATTTTGTTCTATTTGAGATTCGACAGCTGAATATACCTGGTACCCAGCTGACAATTCCCAAGTAGGAAAAAACATACATCCTAAATGTCAATGCCTGATTCATTCTATCCATTCTACATATACTTGTGTCATAATGTCTATATCTAGACAATTCTCACAGGATGCAAATATATTAACAGAGATTGATCAAATTTCAGTGCAAAAAACATCAACAACAGGATAATCCTAACCATTTCAAATTGAATTCATTGAGATATATGTTGAAACTATTAATTGCCTTTAGTAGAAATTTGCCGGAATGTTATATGTTTAAAATCATGAAAATTTTGAGCACTTTTATAAAATTTAGATATAAATTATTTATGCTAAAATTGCTTAACCATCTATCCACAAAGAAATACCTTCATGTATATAAAAAGTTTATGTCTAAAGTAAAATATCGTGAATTGGAACCTTCATGTCAGTGGTTCAAGGTGTAAATCAATTTACTGATCATGATATATTTTGTCTCGTACAGTGTAGAATTTGACAATTTCCCTATCTCATTCTTGATCATTAATCATTGAGGTTTGATCTAAAATATAGAAGAGGGTTATTAGAAAAATAACTATTTTTCGAATACTTAATCAATACAGATCATTGAATGGAGGCAAATATAGTTTATAAAGTTATTTATTTCTTGTTCGACCAGATTTATTCTTTCAGGTATCACTTCTTATAGTGGATGTATTAGAAATTCATTTGAAATAAGCTACTTTTCTTTACTTTAATCATTTATTAGAAGGGGTTTTGTGGAGATTGTAGTAATTTAAACAGTTGAGATCATGAGTCAATTGAAACTAGACCACCATGGAATGGTGGTGTTAATGTCTAACTTCAACTAATCCACGAAATTGAGCGACGCATCCACCATTGTCATCAGTGAGTTACTATCTCTCAACAGACCCAGTTGAACTCCACTGGTCACTGCTTCTCACTACTACTCCAGGGTATATATCTTGAAGCCAGTCACTAATGAGCATATGTTGATCAGTATCAGAAGGGTTTTTTAGGAGATTCTAGTAGTTTCAACAGTTGAGATCATGAGTCAATTGATGGATCGTGGATACGCACTGCTGAGGAGTCCCACAAAAGGACGAAACGGCCATTCAATGCTTCCAGGTTTTACATGGTGGTCTAGCTTCAATTGACTCATGATCTCAACTCTTTAATCATCTACTTACTTGGATGTTTTCATTGACATTTTTAAACAATTATTTGATCCCTTAATCCTTTATTCATGTTTATTATTTAAGTGATAAACTTTAATAATAAGTCAGTAAAATAATTTTGTTTCTGTTTCACTACTAATGCACTATCTTTCTCTTATACATCCTTGAACAAAAACAAAATTCAGCGGTAATTGTGTGTGTGTTGTGTTAGTCCCAGATTGATAACAATTGAAGTATCATTGGAAATCAATAAGCAATCCGCCCTAATGCACTTCAGCTATGCCAAAAATGGAACAGTTGTCACCATTGGCAGTAGGTAAACATGTTGAGAATGAAATTAAGTTGAAATTTTACCGTTAGAGGCTGATTCAGTGGTTTTACTAATTAAGAATTTCTCGAAAGACCTGAATATCCTGAGTTCGATCTCTGGTGTGGTTGAAGTTGTGCACTGATGTAGAGTTCGAACTTAGGATAGCTCAGTTCCTTCTTACTGTTCAAATGACACCTAACTAATATCTGTTTACAAGGGATATAATTTACAAATTAAATCAAACTCTATAAACGTCTTCAACTTTGATTTCAATCAACTCCCTTCGATCGAATGGCTGTGGATTTTTTTTATTCGAATATCAAATGTATATACTTATTATCAGTTAAGATTTGATTGAGATCATGAACTGATTGATGTTAAACCACCATTGAAAACCTGGAAGTCCTATTGTGGGACGCCTCAGCAGTGTATACTTATGTAAAAACTATGATGAGAAATTAATTGAGAAGTAATTTACTATTTTGTTTTACTTTCACAGTAGTCTGATGGACTTTGACTGATTCCTTAATTCAACCTTTTAGACTTACAGAATATATGTCATTGCTTGAATCAATTCATTAGTTCACTGTTGTTTATTTTGATTGACCCAGTTGTATAATTTAAGTTGTAAACAAATGCGTCTGGCTCACTAATAGGTTAATTTGTAAATTTTATTCATTATAAAAACTGATAAACTCAAAATCATATGAAATAATGTCAAATCTGTGGTTTATCAGTAAAGGGGTTGCTACAAATGCTGATGATTATAAATGCAATCCGCAAAAAGAAGCTGGTAGGTATATAGCTGATATAATCTTTCAGTAATCCTTTTACATTAAACAGTTGACATAATATATACTCAGTTCGTGATAGAAACTATATTGATTATATTTTTTATTTGAACGTTTTCAGATGAAATAGTCATTGTTCGAGAGACAGATAGAAGAGACAACAATGGTTCAAGTAAATCTATAAGTATTTTTTTAAAATTAAGTGAATATATATTTTGTATTGAGAAGCATTAACCAGTTATTTCATCTTGCTCAATAATGAGCTACCATTTCCTCATCAAGGGTCAAACTTAGGGCCTTTAGGTTCGGTGGAAATCTCCTAACAATTAGGTAATTGAATTAGTATTCAACAATTAACATTTTTACTTCATTCAATTAGGGATATTATGTGACCAGCTTTTAGTGAGATCTTTGGTTCGTGTTTCAGACCTAACTTGTATAAACTCCATAATTCATTCCTCTTGGATTTCTCAATCTTCAAGAATTCAAGATAGAAGAACATGGATATTTGCTGTCGACATTTGAAATTTTTTAATTTTTAAGATTATTCCTTTAGTAGTACATAATAAATGTGTTTAAATATCTGTCTTTTTATAAGACTTTACAATAACTACTAACCCATTTTATATTGCATTAGATGGACTTAGAATTTGAACATTGTTGAAGGGAGCTAAGAGTAAACAACATTTGTAAATTGGAAGATAACTTCATTATTCATGGCTTCTAAGGATTAGATTTTTCGAAAACTATACATCGTTGATAATTTGAAAATATTATTTTTTGGCTTTGCTCAGAATTAATGCGGAAACCAAATGTATAATATTTATTCTTTCAGAGTTATTGAATTCTGTTATCTGGATGATCGTTCTGAATAACATTATCAATGCTTAATTGATGTAGAAATGAGTTCAGTTATTCTATGAATAGTATTTCGTTATCAGAGTATGTTTCAAACAATAAAATGATCAGAGGTTAATCGAACGTGACAGTCAATTCAAACGCACAAACAAACGACAATTGTGATAACAAATTACAAACAAGGTTGTCAGAAAAAACTAACTTATTACTAATAGAATATCATTGAACTTATTTTCATATCAATTAAGCATTAATAATGTTAGTCAAAACGATAAAGAAATTTCCACAAATCAATCATGGGTCAAATCAATTCATGAGTCAATTAAAGCTAGACCATCATGACAAACCTGGAAACACTAGATGGCCGTTTCGTCCTAGTATAAGACTTCTCAGCAGAACACATTCACAGTTCTGCCTCGTGAGATTCCAACCCAGGACCTGTCGGTCCCATACGCAAACGTTTAACCTTTAACGATGTTAATCTCTAACTTCAACCAATCCACAAAATTAAGCCATCATCCACCATGGTCTTCAATGAGTTACTATCTCACAACAGATTTCGTTGAACTCCACTTATCACTGCTTCTCATTGTAAATCTTTATCATTTAATACTATTCATTCATTTGGCAATATTGTTTAAAAGTTAATTAAATAAATTGGAATACAAACTGTCTAGTCTTATTTTTGTATTATATTCATTTTAATCAATATTGTGCAAATGCAAAAATAAAAAAATTTTTTTTTGGAATCGTCTTAGCGATAAACATTAAAAAAACAATAATAATCTACTTATCAATATCACATGATGTTGCTATCATTAAATTTTTTTAAATGAATTTACTAGATCATATTACAATGGTAGATAGTTCTAAACGAAACTGGTCAAATGGAACGACGCCAAATAGTAACAATGGTAAATATATACACTTTTTTGTGTACATTTAATTCAGTTTTTCTTATATATTTCATCGGTCTATTTGTTTTTCTATCATTTTGTTTTACTGAACAACAAAAACACTTATCTTACTACGCCAAAAAACCACCCCGGAATTTTTAAATAATAATTATCCAACATTCTATTTCGTAATAGTAATTATATTATTGACTAAAAAGAAAAGGTATCTCAGTTTAAACAAATTTATTACATATTCTCATAATTGTTCTACAAATCAATATGATTAGCTTCAACTAACTCATGATCTTAACCATTGAAATTATTATAATATCCACAAAACCCATCTGATATTAATCGACATATGCTCACTAGTGAATAGCTTCAAGAGGTATATCCTGGAGTTCTAGTGAGAAGTAGTGACCAATGGAGTTCAACCAGGTCTGTTGTGAGATAACAACTCACTGAAAATAATGGTGGATGTGTCGCTCAATTTTGTGGATCAGTCGAAGTTAGATATTAAAACCGTTGGATACCGGCTCATTGGTCTAGTGGTTAAGTGCTCACGCGCGAAATCGGTAGGTCCTGGGTTCGAATCTTGAAGTGGGCGAGACCGTGCGTGCGCACTGTTGAGGAGTCCCACAATATGACGAGACGGTCGTCCAGTTCTTCTATGTTTTCCATGGTGGTTTAGCTTCAACTGACTCATGATCTTAACCATTGAAATTACTATAATATCCACAAAACTCATCTGATATAAATCAATATGAGATTAATGAATCTATTTAAAGATAAATGTTGAAATGCCACACTATGAACTTGTACCTGAAATCTTTGGTTTCACCTATAGAACGCTTAACCTCTAGACCACGATGTTATTAATGTCTAACATTAACCATAATCCTATACTGATAATTATCATATTGTCATTAGTGATTACATTTAGAGAAGGAATTCTCGTGACTAGTAGAGTTCACTTGTGTCAAGTGTGAGGTAGTTACCCTACGAAATCAATGGAATATAATCTCATAATCTGTGTACTGCTTCCATGCTTTCAATGATGGCCTAACTGTTATATTTGTGGCATTGTGTCCAATTAATATACAAACGCAATGACACTGACAAATAGAGAAAAGTGAATTATCAACCGGACCAATGACTCACAAACCCATACGAGCAGTTTAGAGTCCATATCAGTACTTCTTCCTCCTAGCCCTGGCTGTTGAGTCCAGAATACTAATCTCAGTCTCCGATATATGAGTCATATATTTCAAACATACTGGGTTTATATACAAGCCAGAATGGACCACATCACACCATAAAACGGAAAATAACACTTATACAACATCAAGCCAAAAAGTGGTCGTGAATGTGGGAGACTGTAATAAATAGACTTGGCATAACTTAGGAATGGTAAATCGTCTAATAGTAGTCTATAGGTCAAAATAACGGTTATAATAAGAGAAACATGAATATACATAGTTTAGTTACTTAACAACTACACAATAAAAATATATATCGTATTGGTCCATAAATAGATCCCAACAGATAACATCCACTATTCTCACCGAAACATAACACTAGCATCGATCGATTCATTACTTCAGTGAAACCCGACGACCTCCACAACTCCAAGCTGGGACGTTTTATTACAATAAATAAACCGATACCCGACATGAAATAATATGAGGTTTCTCAGATGGTTGCTCGAATTTGGTAACTTAAAAGACGTGCATTGGCGTATGTGAAGTGCTATTTCGCCAACGCATCTACAGTTGACTTTATTTATTAACTGTCAATCATTCTGTACAAGCGAGTTTAAACTAATCATATTACAGAGTTACTAAAACGTAGCAAAGAATGTAGTATTCGAATAACTGACACCGTACTTATCATTTAGATTCATTCACTAGATTATAAGAGACCTACCTGTGGATGTTCCTACCATACATTCTCTAAAATTATGTAAACAATGAAATGTGGTCCAAGGACTCATAAAATAATCCTTATATTTGGTCTAACAAATCAACGACCCTATTAAATGATTTACTCTTTAGATTCACTTCGTGATTACTTTTTTAAATTATCTAGAATAGTTTTATAAATTTCGAACCCTGTAAGGTTTCTGTTATATTCCGTTAACTATGGAGTCACTTAACCATAGTATGTGACACTTCAGCGGTGCACATCGACGACCCCACCCCTGAGGACTGAACCCGTCATCTTCGGTCTCACACGTAAACGCTTAAACTTTAGAGTACTGAGCCATGATTTATTGATTTACAACTTTGAATTCAGCCAAACCCCAATGACGAAAAAAACCATCTTCCAATGCACTTGATATGTGACTACCTCACACTCGACATTGTTAAATTTCCCTGGTCACGATTTTTCGCTAGAACTCCGGTACTACCTTCAGAACGTAGTCACTTGTATTCAAGCACAAGCCTGAAGTTGTTGGATTCGATTTCCAGTAGTGAGACTGCTGCTATTCACTGATGAAGAGTCATGTACTAAGACGAAATAGCTGTCTAGTGCCTTCTGGTTTTTCATTGTAAAATTAAGTTATTAGTAAGGGTTTATAACTTATCCCTGATAATATTCAGGACGACAACTGACCACACACCGTCACCATATGTGGATCTTGAGAGAAATGTCTCGATGTTTCATTGTTACGAGTTTTATTATATTTGGTATGCGGCTAGCAATAAAATCGATGGCACACAATTCGTCCTGTTTGAAACTCACCAGCACGATATACGTATATCCTTGTGTTTATATTCACAATGAGACTTATATCTAGTACCTTTCACTTCAAACGCACGAAATATAAGAGACTGATTGACTGCTGTCCAAAATATTGACAACAAGGAAATTCAAACCTTTTTTAATCTCTTCACAACAGTTGAACAAGTTAGTAGCTACCACAACTCAGTGGTTCAGTAAAAAGCATTCAAAGAGAAAGGTATTAAGTTCAAACTTTCGTGTTGACAATAACTTTACGATGTTAATTCATCGAACAGGATTCATGCCCTTGATTCCGTAGCCAGCCACACACTAAATATGAACTTAGCATTGAAAACTAGCGAGTTGTTGGAAAGAGGATAACCCAATATGTCCAGTCTTATTAGTCGTTAGTGAAAGTGTTTAAATGTATACTGAAATTTCAGTGTTTTAAGGTCCATAAATAGAAATTACTAGTTTATTGAAAGTCAGTCCAAAATAATAATAATAATAATAAAGTATATATATATATATAGATCTATTATGGACTCGTACATTTTTTGTCTTAATCCTGTGAGCGGGATCGTACATGCTCATTGTTGACGAGTCCCATATTACGACAAAACGGCCGTCCAGCGCATTCAGCTTTTCCGTAGTGGTCTAGCTTAGATTGACCCATGAACTCAACTATTTAATTAATTAAGTTGAGGTTTTTAAAATGACTTTAATCATTATGAACACTAGATAAACATTATTCTAAGTGAATGAGGACAGAATCATTGTTCAGATTTATCGTCATATTATCAGGGGGATTCTGAGTATTAATAAATGATGTTTTTCACAAGAAGAAATCTTATTATGGAACTAATAGTTTACGCTAGGTAGTCTCTCATGATCAGTCAAACAAAATAATTCGAATGAGTTTAAGTTGATCCTAACCATTTAAACTATTTAATACAGTATTGTAGGTTAATCAAAAGCACTGGATATAATGGTTAGTGAACTGTTTTTTATCTGAACTAAAAGTCAAACTATTTCTATTCACGGTCTCTTTCCTGTCAAAAAGTTGGTATCGTATAATTGATCATTTAATTAGAATTAATATCATGTCGCTCAGTACTAGACAATTGATGTATTTCTATGGAACAGGTTGAAGTCAGGTTACACATCAAAATGCATCAATCCACTTGCATTTTCTTCGATATTCATCGGTTTTAGGTAACACATCGGAGATAGTAAAAATAGATTACGTGTTTTTAAGTGTTGTGGATTTTAGCACGGCTAATTATGACGTGACTTATTCGTTAATCGGAATACGATTTATACAATCTTAGCACTGTGCCAAACCAATGACGTTCGACCGGTATGAGCAGCCTAGCGTCCTTATTGATTCTCTCTCCTCCTAGACTTTCCAGTTAAGTCCAGAACACCAATACCATCTTCCACTATGCGAATCATTTATTTCGATCATACTGGGCCACATCAAACTATAAAATGGAAAATAACACTTGTACAAGATCTAGCCAGAACGTGGCTGTAAGTGTGAGAGACTGTAATTAATAGACTAAACATAACTTGAGAATAGTAAATCGTATAGTGATAGTCTATAAATCAAAATAAAGCTACCGTAGCTATGCATAATTTAGTTACTGAATGGTTATGCAATAAGAATGTACGTATAATATTTGTCCGTAAATAGTTTTTAGAAGTTACCTATAATTTAATCTTTACTAGGATATAACACTTTGGACTTATCACTGAAGTGTATATGTAATTTCGTGGTAACTGATTTCCCTAATGATACGTCATCCATATGTTGTATTCATACTTATTTTCACTCTGGTATTTAAAACACATCTAGTCACATGTATACTTGGTTAAGAAAGATTCAAAGTATTGTAATGATCGGTTAAAAGATTAGGAAAGAAGTAGTGAACTTGGTACAGGTTACTAGTTCCGATTTTTATTGGTTTTATCAGAAATGGAGTATTTGTGAAGATTGTAGTAATTTAATTGTTAAATTCATGGGTCGAATTAAGCTAGACCACCATGATAAACCAGGAAGCAGTGGACGGCCCTTTCGTCCTAATATTATTAACAAGATACGTTCTTAGCATTATTCCCTTTACGTGTAACTCTAAAATCATTTAAGAAAATCTGACACGAAGTGATAAGCTTTCTTTGACAAAAAACTCCAGGAAACGATATATATTCTTGGTGATTAAATAAAATATAATTAATTTTTGTTATCTTTATTTAACAGTAATCTCAAAATTCTGTTTTCCACTTAATGTATTATATTATACTTTATTTCCTGAACCTTCTAGAAAGTACAATTCGAGCAGAGAAGAAGAGCCAACGAAAATGTGCGAAGAGGTGCAGTATTATTTAGTTAGCAATTGGTGATAATAACTATAATTTGTTATATGTTAATATAGACTAACTCATAACTTTACATGGATTATAGTGTCAATGTTTCGAAAGATTTATTCGACAAAAAAATTGACAAGATAATCTTTTACAATGACTGCACTAAATGATAAAAAGGAGCAGTCAAAGTTTTGTTTCATTAAAGTGATTTTTTCAGGCAGTTAAAAATGGAATTAAAGATTTCAAATGTGATTTGCATTTCTTAACTTCATTTTTCTCCTGTCTGCTTTTTGTATATTATTCTATACTACTTTTAAAATATTCAGTAGTTTAGATTATGTACTGTTTTTTATGTAGTGTAATGTAATTCATACTTCTTTATCTATTAGACATTTATTTTCCATATTGATTAGCAATTTTTAAACAAATTTTATCTTCTGTTTTAAGGGTTTCAGATTTGAATAAATTATTTAATTGAAACTATAGAACAGATCTTGTAAACAGTGATTACTTTATGAGCAAAGATGACTAGTGGCTAGAAGTGGAATCCAGGACGCACGTTTCGTCCTATTTGGGAATCGTCAGCTGGATGTACTAGCATTTCAGAGTTGATGTTCACTCTGGGACTCGAAACCAGTATCTTTGCTTATAATGCCTGTGAATTAAGTAATATTGAAGCGATTGGCATATTATGCACATATGCCAATAAAAGACTGACCAATTACAGTTTTAAACATCAATGGGAAAATTCAAGTAAACAATACCAAGTAATTACTTTAGTGATATTAGTATGCTATTGAAACAGCTTTTATCATGAAGCTGTGTAAACTGAAAAATACCTGAAAACTTACCATTTTAAGGATATATTTTGATCAGTGTTTACCGATTGTCTATATTGACAGGAAATATTCTACATTACATAATATCAGTTTTAATCGTTGGATAAGTAATCATTATTGACACAGAAGACTTACGAAGGTTTGATATTAGCTTCAGTTAGTATGATCCTTTTATCTTGATTGAAAATTCATTTCAGTCAGTCATATAATAAAACTCGACCAATATTCGAAATATTTGTAGTTGGTCTTCATAATGAAGTTACATCAGTTATATGATTATTAATAACCAAGGAGTACTAGATATATTTTGTCGTGAGCTAGAACTCACCAGTAGTAAACAGTGACAATACCATATTATTACATAAAACCAGGTTTCACGTTAACACGTATGTTCTCATAATAATTGACTATAACATTCCAAGTTAATAGTATTTCATGATTTATGAGACATATGCTGTGCCACAGTTTTGGTCTTATTTAATTATTTAGAGACATCTATTTAGTGTTGATTTACTACAAAATCCGTAACTTTATCTGGTTTAAATACGTTTAGGCGTCAATTAACTAATCAATCATAAATGTCTTTATATTGTATAGAAGAATTAAATGAATATTGCGAATGTAAATTTGTAAATAACTAGTCATATGAACTGAAGATACTGTTTACTTTCAATTTAAATGTACATTGTTGTTTAATAGAAATAATAAATTACTACTGTTAAATTACTATAATCTCCACAAAACCTCTTTCTGGTAATAATCATTAAATACTCACTAGTAACTGGCTTCAAGAAGTATTTACTGGAGTTCTAGTGAAAAGATGTGACCAGTGGAGATCAACCGGATCTGTTGTGAGATAATAACACACTAAAAACAATGATGGATGTATTGCTCAATTTCGTGGATTACTTTAGTTTAGAAATTAACAGCACTGAATGCCGGCTCAGTAGTCTAGAGGTTAGGTGTTCGCGCATCAGATTGAAGGTCTTGGTTTCGAATCCCGTGAGTGGGATCGTGGATGCACCCTGCTGAGGGGTCGCATACTAGGACGAAATGGCCATCCAGTGGTTCGAGGTTTTCCATGGTGGTCTAGTTTTATTTGACTCATGAATTCAACTCTTAAATAAAAAAAACGTGATGATAATAATAAGTAATGAAAAATTAAGAAGATTAAGAACATTAAAAGGATGTATTAACAATAAAGTTATCGCTTATGAAAATTATGTGCAAGGGCTATAGAAGAATGATTGCTTGTATGTGTCGCACATAGAGTTCAGGTGAGAAATGGTGGATTGACAATGATTCACCAATGCATAAGTTATTGATTTGAGTTCCTTAATAATTAAGCCATCTGAATATATAAATGATTTCGAAGGACTTGCAAGGTGGGGCCATGTGATCAGATGTTTTAATACTGAACTTCTGATTGGTTTACATTCACCTTTAAAAATCCACACAGGATGATGCTTTGAGATGCGTTTGGAAAGCTCTCGCTTTGTGCGACCAATGTTAAATACTCCATAAGAGCTAGGAAACTAATAAATTCACATCGATGTGACACAATATGCCCCATCAACATATGATTTCATTATTACTGGACGTAAATAAACAACAAACTTTCACCAGGTACACAAAGTTACCAGTTTTAGATAGAGATTTGTTTTCTAAGCTAAATAGTTTGGTCGTGGAGCTTTCATTGTTCTTCTGAACAACATTATCAGCACAAACTTCAGGTGGAAGTGAAGTGTTCGAATTTTTCTACATACAACACAGCATGTCTTTCTTCTGTCTAGCTTGTGGTCCTATGGTTTGTCTTGTTTCCCGTTAAGTTTATTTATGTATTGATGTTTGTGGATCCTGTAGTGTGCATCAGTTATCATTAGGTGTATCATGATCGTGGATGAACAAAAGAGGAAGCTGATGGAGATGCTTACATGAGAATGTTTAACAATCCTGACAGCAGCATTCGTGGTATCAAGCAGACGACACAGAGGACAAAGAAGAAACACCCTCAAGGAAAAATAATCAAGGTTTTAAAACCACCCGCAGAAGAAAACATAATCAACTGAATGATCAACCAGACAAAGCAATCTCTGGTGAACATAAAAGAAAACCTCCTTCAAACGAGGTTAAATACAATACAAGTGACGCTTCAAAACTAGAATTCTTCAGTTCATTACTGTCATAACTCAACAATCCCAGAAGAAATGAAAAAACTCAACAGGAAATTAGACAAACCATAGTACCGCCAACTCGACTGAAGAAAGAAAACACCCAACCGACCGCACAAGTACAAAAAGCCTTAAATAAACTCAGAACTAGGGAAGATATAAAAGATATCAGAAATTCCAACAAGATTATTAAGGCCGTTTGGAGTAGATGTAGCACACAAAATAGCAAAACTACTTCTGTTAATTTGATGCAAATCAAAGTACGAAATAACAAAAGAGGGAGAACCGAACATCATCCACAAAATAAACTAATACAATTGTCAAAAACACTATATCTGACAAAATGGACGCCTTCTTCATCTTCGCCTGCATAAACGTCAATTAGTGGTCAAGCTATGGTGAATGAATGTCAATCAAATAACTTTTTTTAGTTTTCTTTCTTTTACATAATCTTATTACGATTTGTACATTAACTAGACTTTGTTCATAATTGTGTTGAATAATTATTATGCTACTGTTTATTAATTTCATTACTTTCACGTAATCTAATTTCTCTTCGTCTTATTACTTAGTAATTATAACACCACTACTCTACTCTCTCTTCTGTCTACAACATCAGCTCTGGTATGCAGGCACATCCAGCCGAAGAGTCCCAAATAAGACGAAACCCTCATCCTGGGCTCCACTACTAACCACCATTCATTTTTACTACTATCCTTTTTCCCAGTATATGGAAATATTTGTCAATCCTATTTTGTGGTATATTATTCTTGTTATAATCTACAATTTCATTTCGAACACCCGATAATACTTCATCGACTAAAGCATATTCAATCTTTGTTTATAATTACTTCTTGTAATTTCAAACTATTTCCAGCTGACATAGGAAGCCTTAAAATAAAATAGGGTGTATAATTCGTATAGAGAACTGTGATGACCATCATCAAAGTGGTACAAGTATTTATTAACAATTGCTTAGTCGAGATATTTACTTCCCGTTGATCGGATATCATCAGCAACAACCTACTGTAGGAGAGAACAAACTAACTTCCATATAAAGAGGAAATTAAGAATAGACGTTGAAAGTGGATATGTGGATAGGACGTACATTAGGGAAATCATCAAACTGCATCACGAAGCAAGTGCTAACATAGAATCCTGAAGGAAAAAGGAAAAGAAGAATACCAAGGAATAAAATGCATCGAAAATCGGAACTAGACATGAAAAGAATAAATAGCAGCAGGAAACAACTGGAAAGGATTGTCCATGACATAGTTAGATGGAGAATGGTTGATAGGCGGTCTATACTCTTCCACGAGGTGTAACCGACATAATAAAGTAATATAATTTGTAATTCCTAGTCTATATTAAATTTATCAAGAGATTTAATGATATGAAACCACTTAATTTATCGAAATACTAATATATTGATTTCTGATGTATTCCATTTGTAGTTCATACGTTTCTAATGAATAACTGCATAGTTTCTAACGAGTCATTTCGAAAAATTTGTAAAAAAATATTTTTACTGTTTTTCTTTCTTTTAACGATAGTCTTTGTTCATAGTTTAACTGAGAATTTAATCGACTAATAATTAATAAATAATTTTATAATTGAATTCATAAGTCAATTAAAGCTAGATCACCATGGAAAACCTGGAAGCACTGGACGGCCGTTTCGTCCTAGTGTAGAACTTGTCAGCAGTGCGCATCTACGAATGTCGGCTCAGTGGTTTAGAGGTTAAGCGTTCGCGTACGAGACCGATAAGTCTTGGGTTCGAATCCTGAAGGGTGGAATAGTGGATGCTTACTGCCAAGTAGTCTCATATTAGGACCAAACGTCTGTTCAATACCTTCAGGTTTTCCATGGTGGTCTAGCTTCAGTTGGCTCATGAGTTCAACTATAAAATTACTAAAATTTTCACAAAATAGCCTCCTGATAATAATAAATCATTGTTCATGAAATTAATTTGTCATTTATCGTCTTTCAATTACATACATAAAAATGAAAGAAAAAGGTATCCTATAGAGTTAATTCACAATTAAAGGAATAACACTTCCGAAATTCATATGATTTACATTAATTTATTGTTGTTGATGTTGCTACGATGAACTATTTATTGTGGAATTTTATTACAAACAAAATGAAATCAGTCAAAATAATCACTAAGCTTCATTGTTTGTGTGTGTATGTGTTTGTGTACTGAAAATTTTCTATGTCAATCAAATAAACATTCTATCGATAAATTAAACAATTATTAATATAGTCTGTATACATTCTATCATAGTTGAATCATTCTTCTTCTATGATATTTGATGTTTTTGATCTCCGGGAATAAAAAGTTTTTTATTCGATTTTTTTTTGTTAAGGAATTTTAGTAACAAACGAAAATAATTAATGAATTGTATGTTTGTGAATGTTTTTAGCTTTTGAGTTAAATAACTGTGTAGATCGTTGAATAATCAATGAT